GTGCATGTGGGGGGTGTTCCAGCTCCTTTTTGCACGGGGATCTACCACAGTCCCCATCCCATTTATTTGTTCTGGGTCCATTCCACGGGTCGTGGGATATATGGCACAGTCGAGCGTTTCGTTTTTCAGTATCCTCCCATTGTTTCAGGAGAGAAGGGGGAAGAGGGCGGTAGTAGAGGCCCAGGTTGAAACAAAATTTCAAGTCAGTAGCTTTGCAGTCAGAGTAACCAGATCGTGTCAGAACGATGGAGGCCCCCGCTCCGAACTTATCAAAAGAAAACAGGGGGGAATGTAGTGCCAGTGCCTGGACTATTTGTAAACAAAAGTGACCTCTGACCCGTGATGTCACGGACCACGCTGTCGGAAGCCGGAGGCGCCGAGAGCAGCACTTGAGGACTAGGACAGTCCGGAAGTCGGAGTCAGAGAACAGAGGCCTTAGCCCGGACTTACTTACCCTTCAGACGTACATTCCTGAACGCGGAAAATGGTGAGTTACGGGCCTGGGCTCTATGATTATTAGTCTTCTAATTACTAGGGTAGTTTAAGTAGTAATGAATTAACCTGTGGAGCCTAGCAAACTCTACACTGGATGATGGCGTTCTGGTGGATCAAACCAGGTCAGTTATAATAATAAAAATAATAATTTGCGATTTGTATAGCGCCTCCAGTTATGCTCTCATATCAAGGGTCCTATTGAAATATCATCGAGATACATATACTAATATTATAAGTTCCTTTTGAATTGTGATTGGAGCAGGATGTTTTGGATGAATGGATTAGGACAATAATAATTAATATCACCAATCCATTCATCTGGCTTAACAATCAGTAGTGATTGGCATGCAGGGGCTGGGAGAAAGATTGAATTATGAATATGCCCAGTGGTGGCTCCAGAAATTTGCTGACAAATGGCCCAACATGTCCGACGGAGGGGCCGCCGAAGCCTCGGTCGACTGCCCGAAACAAAACTTCCCAGGTGTTCACAGTGAGAGTTTTTATGGCTTCATGGTCCAAAATGTGCTTTTAGACCACAATGGATTGCCAGTCAAAATGTTATTTTGGATAGACCAATCATAATTTTTTTATTTTTTATCCGATGACCTAGTCGTGTGTTGGATGGCAGGGGGTCCAAGCCTGTCTGACGCAGGGAAAAATACCTCCTCCCCCTCTCTCATCCCACTGGTGCCACCAGTGGATATGCCTGTATACTCTGTGTCCCAGCGTCCGATGCCATATTGAGACATTGGCCAAAAATGAATAAAATAACATTTTTTGGAATGCCAATATTTAGGCTTAGGCCTATACATTATTGTTTGTAGTCTAAAAGCACATTTTTTTTTGGGCATAATTTAATTTAAGCCAACTCTACTAACCCTGCTAGGGATTTTTACTCCAGACCCCGGGACAGGGCTCTAATCAGCCCCTATTACAGACCCCCTGTCTAGGCATCCTGTCAACAGATTTCTGGAGCCACTACTCATGGTAACAAAATAGTTACTGCCTTTTTTAAAAACTTATATATTGTGGAACTTTTATTATGGATGTCTTTGGACAGCTTAGAGTTAAATGATCATCACACTTCTCATATATTTCAGCTCTGTAACAGGCAGTTGTAGACCCGGTTCAAAATAATATCGAGATAGCAGACTTTTAAGGTAAGTTTGTACAGTCAAGACAACTCCAGTGCAACAGAGTAATATAATAATAACAATAATAATGATGATTTTTAGTATTTATGTATAGTATTTCTTAACCTTCTGTTGTTGATATTTAATACTACATTGTGTTTGCATTTATTTTTCTAATTTTTACACTACTTTTATTTATACGGCCTTGCACGAACTTGATGATTAAAACACCCTTGAATGAGTTTTACAGTGTTGAAATAAAGTATTTATTATTATATAATAATAATAATAATAGCATCAAATTCCAAAAAGAGAGATCCAGGTGTCAGGCCTCAAAAAGTGTATGAGAATTTTCAAAATTTTTAAACATCTAGCCACAAGGCACATTTTATTGTGCACTTGTAAATTCCAAAGTAGAAAGATGTTTTAAATCTGTTGAATTTGGTAAAAACCTACACTAATCTTGGACAATGCATGATTCCCAGTGCCCTAAGGTTCCCCAACTGGAAATACACTCAAATAGTTAAAAATCACCTCATTATCACTTTATTTTTCCAGCTAGCACCCTGCTCTCAATCTTTGAATTCCACAACTTTCATTTACTATACACTACCCCACCAAGTTACACCACACACTGGAAATTTGCTGTGCAAAATAGTTATTCTAAATCACTCATATCATCTTGTTTTCTTGACAAATACCATTCATTTAATCCTTGAGAACCTCACTTAAACTATACCCCTAACCATGACCACCTGGCAATACTCCTTTGATACATTGTTGCAAAATCCACCTCAGTAAATACATCTAAAACCATCTGTGGTTATCTGTAACTCGTACATGTAAAGCATGGGAAACCCTTTCAGCCCACAAATCAAACCTTGCGTCTTAATTTATTACATTAAGCTGTAAACATAACAATCATTAATTTCATTTAATAATATATATATATTTATATAGTGCCTAACAGATCACAGATACCTCTAGGCGCTTTACAATTCTTAATTTAAGTTAAGTTAATTTAATTTAATTTAATTTAAAATGAACAACATCAATAAGAATACTTTTTCAAAATGTTTGGATTCTGTTTAATTTTGTTTCCTTCAATCAAATCAAACATTGTTGATATGTTGGTTAATTTGACCATGGAGGAAATACATTAATATATTTCCTCCATGATTTGACATAGGGTTACCTGATAGAAGTACAGTAGACTTTACAACATTACACAATAAAGTTTAAATCTATAATTGCATGGTCTCATGCTCTAACTCTAAACACAATGACAGCAATACTATTGAACTAACTTTGAAATGGTTTATTTTTTAAGTTCAGTCATCAGTGATGAATTTTTTCAAGCATCACAATATCAATAGGCCTACTCTGAATTATTTTAGTGTTGAAATTAGCAAAACAGGTAGTTGGCCATTTAAAGAAAAGTGGCAACCATGCTCAAAGGTAGTTGTGACAACCTAGAGATGGCTACTACCATTATTATGTATTTAACATCATCAATGGTTTGGGTGTTGCTCGGTATATAATAGTAAACGTTGATGGCAGCATGATGGCCAAGTGCCAAAGTTAGACGTTCTTTATACGTTCGTAGGTTTTTGACAATGTGGTAAGTAAAAAACTCTTTAAAAGAGTCAAATTATCCATTTACCTAAAATTTAAAATTTCAATATAGGCATTTTAGACCTAATAATATTTTGCAAAACTTATAAGGCCTATTCTATGGTTGTCACAGTTTTGTAGAATTTTAGGGCAAAGTCAGACTAAAACAATATGGCTGCCCTATTTCTGAATGCATGGTTAGGGTAATACCTGGGCATTTAGATGCAGGGTTATAGCTATAGAAAACTAAGGTTGGGTGATAGACATTTTAAGGGTGGGTGGTTAATAACTTGGTAATATATAAATAATAAGAGTGGATTTTAAGGATGGGAAAGTGGGTTAATAAGGGTGGGTGGAGGGCCATGAAATTAGCTTAAGACTGTGTGGAAAACTTCAAGGCTGGGTGGTCCCGCCCCAAACTAACTACATCCCCATACATATGATGATTTTATTGAATCTGCAGTTTACCCAAATTTATTTCTAATAAATATTAATGGTTGAAATGATGGGATAACAAGAGCGTAAGCCCTACTGGTTGGTCTCAGCTCCTTGTTTACTCTAAACACTTCATTCTGATGGCAAAGTGTAAATTACTGTCACTGAAATGCTGAGACATGTCTGTTATAATATCAAAGCAGGAAATAATCATCATATATTCTTAGTCCACACCCACATCAGCCCCAACATGGTTGATGCAGTGTTCAAAATTATTGACTTCTTCCCGATGGGAACTATGCTTCCCCCCACCCCAGACACCCTTCCCCTCACAGGCGTCGAAAATGGCTAATCAAGGACCTATAGTCTATACTTGGAGTCGCAAAGCAAATTATGATTATATGACACATCTACCCCAGAAATAGCACTCATTCAGATTTAAAATTTGAAGTATTTTATCTCCATATTTTTTTTTTTATTTTAACAAATATAGGGGGTCCTGTCCGCATTAATTTTTCCCATACACTTAAGGCAGAAATTATAGAGAGTTCTATTGTATGTCAGTTGGGTGAACTGATATACATAAATATATGCATGCATGCATAGAGACTTCCCCTCGCGAGTCATGAAAGCAGTGTTTGCTGCTTGTGGAATATGAAATGTATACAGCAGTAATGTAGGCCAGAATCTAAAAGAAAATTTAGCATTGAAAAGAATATCTACTGAATATTTAGGATAACTGCAAGACCAATGTGAAGTGACATTTTTTTTCCCTTTCAACTTTTCCAGTTTACAGTATTAATAATTTGTTTAATTTTCATATAGTTATCCCAGAGCAACGCATTCGGATAGTTCATTTTAAAGGTTCCTACCTAGGAAACCTTTAATTTCCGTCAAACAACTCTTTATGGACTATTTGCCTGTACGTATATTGTATTAATAATAATAATAATAATAATAATATACTTTATTTAAACACAGAGACACTTGAATCACCCATGGGTGTTTTTCATCAAGGCTGAATGCGCTGAACAGAAAAACAGAAAATAAAATCTATTCTAGTTGGTCACCTAAGCGAACCAATAAATAAACAATTGAAACAGACCAATGCAGAAGGAACCAACACTATCGCACCATTCACCTGCAATTTTAGACCACTGACAAGCAATGGTTAGCAAGTACATGACTCACAGGTGCTCGAATAGTGTTGGCATCTGGTCTAGCCTATCCCAACAACAAAAGTGAACAAATAACAGAAAACAGAGACAAATTAGAAAGAAAGTAATATATGAGGGTAATATTTATTGTACATGTTCAGAATTGTTGTATAATATATACTCTAAGCGTCGAAATGCACGCCATCGTGTAGGGATTCAATATTTCAACATTAATTGTCATCATCAGAAATTCCTGATGATGACATAATAATGTCAAAATATTGAATCCCTACAAGACGGCGTGCATTTCAATACTTGGGATTATGTATTATACTATCTTTATCTTTCGGTTGTTGTGTGCTGTAGATTTGTGCTGTAAATGTTCTTTACTACAAAATAATTACCAAATTACGAAATGCAATTTCTTATTGTTCATGATGCTATTATAATTACAGTTAAACTTGCCTAAGTCGACTTTGCCTAACTCAAATAATTTCTTAAGTCAGTCATCTTTTTTATGCAAAATTGTTGTGTTTTCCATTAGTTAACAATCTGTAAGTCGAGTTTATCATAGCCGAACAAATTTTTCAATGGCATTTTGGATTTGACTTAGGCAAGTTCATGTGTATATAAAATGTGCAAATTGAAAGTGCTATTAAGTGCTAACTAGTATAAAACAAATTCCAAATAAGGTCAGACAAAGCATTCTAATTTAATATTTGGTCTTTGATTATTCTTTACCTGATTTACAAATTGCAAATTGCTACACTGTTCATGTTCTAAATGGTACTCAGACTTTATGAGGTATTCTTACAACGAAAGATAATTTTTGCCTGTTTCCGTGCACTCAGATATATGCTATGTAAATTTCTTGGTTATGTGAGGCTTTCCATCCCAAAACAGCGTACTGCCGCTAATTGTTAATTTGTATAAGAATGTTATATATTTAATGCTTGTGGTACACCACATAGATAGTTCTGAAAACCAAACTACAGTAACTGAGACTGTGTGAAATGGCTAATACAAAAGCCAGTAAGAATATATTAAAAAATCAGTTTTCTTTTCAATGACAAGCCTCATATTAGGAATACTAGTGTGCCATAGCATAATATGTGGTTTCAAAGACATATCTCAGCAGTATGAGCCTAAATTAATCCATCCAGTAGATGTTCTTGTTAACTGGGTGCCACAAGGAATTTTGTCCTCATTGTCTGTCTGTCTTCATTGTCTGTCTGTCCTCATTGTCTGTCCAGGTTGTTAACTTGTAGAACACATTGTTCTTTTTCTGTGCTGTATCATGTATAAAGAATGATTTTTTAAAGTTATATGATTGTCACTTAGGTGCTGCACTGATTTAATTGAAATGATTACAAGAATACTTGTAGTGGCACCCTCAGTTATATCTTTTAAAGCTTGGTTTTTATAAAATTTCTACATACTGATGCTGGAGTGGTTGGTGATGCCAATTGGTCGTTCAAATCAAGGGCCTTCACAAATGTGATGAGATGTCTACACAGTGTAATGATTACATTGAATACACTGTGACAGCAAATACATTTTTTAAAACCAGGCTCCACATGAGTATATTCATAGGTGAAATAATGTGATTTTTTTCATTTAAAATTTAATGTGTTTTTGAAAGCCCCACGAACAAAGACATTAAAGGTGGCTAAATAAATATTTCTGGATAGAAATCCTACCAGTATTACTGTTATTTTCTCTCTGTAATTGTCTACAGATTTTTTGTGAGATTAAGACTTAAATGTGGTGCATTCATGGATAATAGTTAAAATATATGTATGACCAGTCATCATTTCTGTATTACCACTATGAAAGGTGCATAAGACTAATGCCATGTGTTGAACCGTTAAACAGATCTAATAAACTTGTACAGTAAAATACAATATAGTATTTAAATTGCTTATTGTGTAGTATATGAATAAATATTGTTTCATGCACTGGGAAAAATATTCAGCAAGGTTGGAAGAAACAGTCATCATTCAATGAATGGACTTTTAATTACACAATAAAACAAAAATTTATCTTTTTGTGGGGACACCCACCTTTATTGTTTCCCTTTCTTATTTCTTTTCAGCAGGGGCAGATCCAGCAGGGGCCCACATGGCCCGTGCCCCTGTCAGTCCCGCCGAAAAGTAAAAAAATTGGGGAAAAAAAATTTAGTTAAAGGAAGGAAAGAGGAAAAAAGGAAGTGTACCCTTGAGTTCAGTGGCAGATCCAGCAGTGGTGAAAGGAGAGCTTGATTATTTTACCACACTGATTTCGATTTTTCTATTGATTGATGATGAACACATCACTATATCCCTGACGCCAATTTTTTTTCCAACAATTTCATAAATTTTCTAGGGGATCTAGATGTGCCATAATCATAAGTTACTTTGAGACTCCCAGTAAAGAATAGACTATAGGTCCTTGTCTAAGTGAGGGAAGCATAGCTCCCATTGGAAGTCAATGATTTTGTCAAGGAACCCTGCTTTGAAAAAGCATTTTTACTATCTGAAAGTGCCATTTCCAAGCGTCTAGAGGGGCCTATTTTTAAAATTTACTCCCAGGGCCACCGACCCTTAAGGCTTTTTCGATGCCTGTACCCATATGTTTAGGGTTAGGCTTTGCGACTCCGAGTAAAGAATAGACTATAGGTCCTTAATTAGAACTTTGCAACGCCTGTGAGGGGAGGGGTGTTTAAGTGAGGGAAACATAGCTCCCATCGGGAGGAAGTCAATGATTTTGTCAAGGAACACTGCTTTGAAGAAGCATTTTTACCATCGGAGAGTGCCATTTCGGAGCGTCTAGAGGGGCCTCTCTTAAAATTTGCCAAACATGGTGGGGCTAAGGTGGATGTGGACTAGTTATTGGAGGCCCCCGATTGAAAATTTCTGAATACGCCCCTGTTCAATTTACATTTCATCAAAGTGTACAGAACTGCAAGAGGTTTGCCATAGAGTTATGCACACTATGAAAAAAAGTACTACCACGAGATAGGGGACATCCTATTAGAATTTGAATTGATTTCAAACTGTTTGTGAAGGACGCCCTCTATTTCATGTTAGCGATTTATTATCCTTTCTAAAAGAAATGTACAGTAAGCAGTTAGGTCATATAAACTATTGCCTTACTTCATTTATCTTGCCTAAACATATACCCTACCATATTATAACACAAATATGAATACAGGTCAGTAAATGCATAATGTTCACCACCATATTTATCCATAAGTTGTGTAGGAGAATGTTTGTATTTCCATCTGTAATTAGGCCAATCTTCTTTTAGTAGTGGTAATGAATAATTGTTCTATATTGTCATGTCTAATCGCGATATTTAACATAGTAGAGTTTAAGCGAGCGAAGCAAGCACACCCTGTAGTTAATTTATGTACTAACAAGTACTTTCATTAGAATGTTTGCTTCATGCACTTTCATTAGAATGTTTGCTTATTCTATTTTTTTTTTCTTTTTTTAACATTATATATCTAGTTCCAAGCAAAGAAAAAAAAAAGAAATCCACTTTTTATAATTAGTAGCTTATCATAAAGAGGTGCTAAATTGTGGAATGAACTTAGTGATGACTCAAATACAATTTCCAATTTCAAAATGAAAATGAAAATCAATCGAAAGTATTATATTAATGATGTAAAATATATTTAAGATAATTCAGTTTAGTTAATGTAGTTAAGTTTCTTTCAGTAGGCTCTAATATGATTTCCTTTTTTAATTAGTCTATTTTTACCATTTTGTTTTAATTTCTGTTTTGTTGAGTTGTACAATGCCTTTACGGCCTTGTTGAAAAACACAATTGTACAAGTGTTTCCGTAGTTAAATAAAGTTTTTATTATTATTATTATTATTATTATGCTAAAATATATTAATTACATAGTACAATTCTGAAATTATCAAGTGTCAAGTGTAATATTACTGTAGGTACCTAAAACACAAAAAGTTGGGGGTTTTTTTGTTTTTGTTTTTTTTCAGTATTCCATTCAATTGGTGCCTTGGTTAAATTATTACATGCATATTCATTGTAATTAGATTTAATTTCTCTAAATTTATTCAGTGGTTTAACGAAGGGGCTGGAGGCCGCTGAGCTAGGGTCTTAGGGCCCCAAGACACTGGGGGACACGAATGCCCATCTGGTGTTGTTAGTGTTCTATGACGTATTTTAATGCCTTTTTACACATTCGAATTATAGGTTGTATCATGATTTGTCCCTAAAAAAGCATATTTAATTTTTACTATGATATCACTAATAAACATATAACAATAAATACCAAACAAAATGAGCAAATTAAAATCAATAAATATTTATGGACAACAACATATCTATCATACTCATGTGTCAATGCTTTTGCTCATGGTTTATTTTCATGGTTTATTTTCACTCGGCAGACTTTGGCTTCGAAAAGGGCCTTGGTTTGTTTGTCAAAAAAAATAATTTGAATTTGGTGGGCCCTTTGATGCTTTGATGCCCCTGGCTTTAGCTAGTGAGAGCTCATAGCCGTTATGCCACTGAATATATTTCAAATTTGATTCTAGTGTTTCTACTCCAATAGGACCTACAATATACTTTATTTAAACAGGGAGACACTTGAATCACCCATGGGTGTTTTTCATCAAGGCCGTGCAAGGCAATACATAACTAGAAAAGAAAAAATTATTGAAAACAAAATGAATTAAAGAAAACAACAAAAACATAATATCTTAACTACCAGTGAAACTATCCCCCGCTGGACACCAACCCGGTATTTCTAAGTTTCGGGGATGACAATGGATAAAATCAAAAATGTTTATGAAGACTTTGCTTGAAAATATGGAGGATGGAAGAACATTTAAGTTCATCGGAAAGGTCATTCCAAAGCATAGCACCATGATATGAGAGGCTATTTTTCTTGCACTCGGTGTTCACTTTAGGAATGTTAAAGTTGATGCTATTGGCAAGTCTGGTATTATAACTATTTTCTCTTAATTGAAAGTGGTTAGAAAGATATGATGGAACATTGTTATTGAAGATTTGATACATAGTTATTGCTTCAGTATACAATATTTGTAAATACAGAATGCAAAAGAATAGATATCATTTACAATTTTTTTTTTGGTTCCTTTAATACCATTTTCCCAAAATTTGAAATTAAAATTTCCAGTAACCTGGCAGCTACTACTGGGGAACTACCTAGTTACCAGTGGCGCATGAGGCTCTATTTGACACACTAGCTAGCTGTCCATGCAAGGTAAAATATGATGTATTAGTTTAAATTTAAACTATATTTCATATTGTACACTTTATTATGCCAAACTTAGATACTTCATATGGTAATCAAATTTATCTCCTTAGTTACCAACCGCCTCGCATCGTGCTGGACGGCCCCGCATTTCAAAGAAATTTTGGATGAAACACGCATTTTGCTGAAACACATGCGTGATCGTAAATTTGTCACACATTTAACACAAGTCTATGAGAGATAACAAATTATCATGAATTCAGGGGAAAATTTAATGATTAGAAGCAATTGGCTTTATTAAAAATATAAAATGTTTGTATAGGTATACATAGTTTGGGTGCTCAAATTAAACATTGGCCTACATTGAAACACAAATTGTACATGGCTTTATTAATAATATTTTTGCATATGTATGAGTATTATTAACAAACACTCCCTGAAATCGTTTTAAAACAGCTTAAAAATGCTCAGATTGTCGGAGCAGCAGGGGGCGTGACCCCGGCTGTTTGTATTGGTGGCACTCACAGTCAGTGATGCGGTCTTACAAAATACACAAAAGAAAAGGGAGAAAAGAATCTTAACATTAACAATCAATACTTAACTAAAAAAATATCACCAAAACTGCAAAGGAAATCAAATGGAAAAGAAATATACTGCATGCATATGAATATATCTACAGCATACACATGTACATGTACCATATATGTACAGTGTTTAAGCTGTCATTAGCCAAATAGCCAAATCCTAATAAAAGCTGAATTTTGCTAAATATTTTCATTCAAAATTAGCCAAAAAGCTAATGGAATTGAAGCTATTTCTGTTTGGCTAATTATTTTCATACCAAATTAGCCAAATTGCAAAATCTTATTTTTGGCCAGCTTAAACCCTGTATGTATATATATATATATATATATATATATATATAAATGAATAAAAAGCGAGGTTCAACAGTAGCTTTGATTAGACATTTTATTACTACTTAGTTTCGTACCACACACATGGTGTGACACTCTTCAGATAAAATTGCCTAATGACTAAAAA